CGTAACGGCTGCGACTCCCCGTCCGCCGCAGGAAGCAGAGCTCGTCACTCCACGAGCAAGGCAGTCCATGGTGTTTGCCCAGCCCTTCCGAGGTCTCGGCGAGGTCCAGGGGCCAGGCACAGATGCCACACCCAGCCCTCATTTGCTTTCCAAGTTATAGCAGTGGACATCTCCTTTTCCCTTCCCGTCGTAACCGGGAAGCGGCTGTCCGTATTTATCCACGCACCAGCAGTAACCTCTCTTTCGGCCTTTGGATGGGCGACACTGAAACAGAATAAAAAACCCCATTAGCATTATTTTTGTTTTCTCTGTTTTTAGCATTATATAGCAGGGATTCCTCCTCATTTGATAGCTGTGCTTCCATATCCTGGCCATATCTGACAGAATCAAACAGAATATTTATTACCACTACAAAGTATTACAATAAGAGCTTACCTCCTCTGTCCCTCTACCCCTTTGGGTCTAATTACTCCATAATAAAACTGCTCTGAGAAAACAGCTTTATGAATTACTCCCTATGATATCAGGCAGCACAGTTACCCCTTTGCATACCAGGACTACTCACAACAGTATGGGCTGACGACTGGGACCCGTCTTTGGAAAACAAAGTTAACAGGTATGTTCTATGCTAAAGCCCAGATCTTGCAAACAGCCCCTGCAGCAATAAACACCCTTGGCTTGCATCTGTTTGCTGGGGGAATTTCAATACTGTATTTGACAAATACATAATCCTTCTCTAATGGAGTTATCACTTCAACAATTGCTAGGTGTACTAGAACTTTACATGTGTATTTTCATATAAATAAGGTTGCTTATATACTAGTCTATAACCTACGTCAGCTTTAGAAGTTGCCTGGTGGAATTTGCCAGCAATGCTGACCAACCTTAAACTACCACAGGCAACAACACTAAACTTCTTTAGAGACAGTAACGCAGTAAAAATGCGTTCTCAAGTCTAGTATGTACTAAGTAAGTAACGCTCTCCCCAAGGAACCAAGAATGGTAAAAGGCAGACTCAAAGAGATGACACGCTGCAGGTTGCATTCAATACGCAACCCTGGACACAGTCACACACGGTGAACCTCTCGGACCCTGCAAGGTTTTCACCCACTCGAAAGAGACGTGTCTCCAGGACACAGATTATCTCACTAGGTTTGCCACAATGAACCTCATTGCCAAGACATAGCCTCCACGTCAGCCCAAGATTTGCGATTTGGCGATACAGGATTCGCTGCAAATGCTAACAGAGGTGGCTGTTTAGTTAGGACAGACTTATGAAGGAAGCGGTAACACAAACATACCCAGCTTTTCAAAGACTGAGGTTTCATCTGTTGCACGGCCAACATGAAGGAAAATAGGCTGGCCTGAAGCCACTTACGCCCCTCAACACTGTGAAGGCTATCATGCAAGCAGAGCAAATGCTGCCTCTGAGATCACACTCGCAGCAATTCAGGTATTTCAGAGGTTCAGGCTGGTACAAGCCAGGTAAACTCTGCCACGACCTCTCAACTGGTTGTTCTCCAGAGTCTAATGGGCGCATCCCCATCTCCCTCGTGGGTACAGCAGTGGCTCATAAAGCTGAGTGTCTTTTCCACGTGCAGGTACACTAAGAAACATCAAGCAAGTGTTGGGCTTCATATGCTGCCCAAAGTGCCTGACCTTTTCCACATCTTAGTTTAGGAGTTCAGGTGAAAGAGTGCTATTTTGGACAGAACTGTGAATATGGGTCACTCCAGGGACAGCCTGCACCAGCACACTGGCCCCTAAGCCAACTAATTTGTGGCACCATGGAGTAGGGTAGCCAGTCTTCACTAGGAACTTGTGAAAGAGAGACGGGAGCAGATCACACATTAGACACAGATTTCTGAACAAGTTTCCATCTTGTTTATTTCAGAGTAAACGAAGTAATGTTAAATCACCTAACTGCAAATAAATCTACCTTTGTGACATGTTTTTGAGTAACAAGGCCAATGCAGAAATAACACAATGCCTTCTTTTCTCTGAATTTGCAGTCCTTCTGCATCAGCCCTGTGCAAATGGACGGCAGCAGGATAACACGATCAAGCTTAAAGTATGTATCAGCTTATTTTAGGAGAGGGTGAAGAAGTTCAAACCACTGAGAGAACTGCTACATTAATAATTTGCTAAACTACGTGGTTAGCTGCATTTGAGTTCTAGTTATTTGTTCAGCTGGTTTTCTGTACTCAATCTTTAAAGATAGGTTTTACAACTTATGTTTATTGTCTCAAAAGCCTGACTAGGGCTTGCACGTACTCTCCAGGATTTCCGTAAACGGCTGCTCAAAGTCCACTGAAGTCAATGGGAAATTTTCCTTCAATTTTGGTGGCAAACTGGACTGGACTCAAGCTTAAGCGATATGAAGAAGTCACTAAATGTTAATGCTCAAAACTGAGGAATTCATAAATGACAGCCTTTGCAGAATTTAAATTTTACAGAAAAGGAAACTGAGGCAGCAGTTCTTGAGTTGTTTTTCCCAATAGAGCAGGCACAGATGAAGCCCAAATTAGAGCACAGGACTTCTGGCTGCCAGCCTGGTGCTCCGGCAATGAAACTACACTTCTGCTAATAATAGTAACACAGCCTCCCCTTTTAGAAGTACTATATGAAGTATGTTACACAATTCTTGCTGATTCATAGGCTTGCATCACTCTCAAAACAAATGATCAATTAAAGTTATCTCATGTTGTTGGGGGTTTTGGTTGCTTTTTACAGTTGCATCATCAATTTTTGGAATTAACTACAACATGAAGTTAGTCTGCAGGAACACCTTCCCTACTACTAGTATTTTTTCTAGTATTACTTCTAGACAACCCATTTGGAAAACAAAACCCTTAGTTCATTCTACAGCTGAAATCAACACTCTGTGAGGAAACAAGTTACCTTTTCCAATTTGCAACTACCCACTCATCCACGCTGTCAATAGTAAAGCGCATTGGATTCAAAAGCAATGCTTTTACCTTGAAGCATCTAACTTGCATTCCCTACAGAAGGGGTAGACAGTTGATAATGGAAAAAAAAGTATTTCTAAATATCTGCTCTTCTCAATCTTGTACTCCACACACATTTCCAGCCTCTGCCCAGCTCTTCTGTATGACTTCAGAAGTCCAAAAAGCTGGAAAACTGCCCAACCGGTGGAGCCGGTAATTACTTATGATAGAAACACCAGCTGCCAGCTTCCATGCCACCTGCCCCTCTCCCTTCCACAAAGAGGTGCGGCAGAGGCATTCGTGGGGTACAGCAAAGCATATGGTATCCCATTGAATTCCTGGTCAGCCTAGAGGTCTCCGTGGAGCTACAACTGTGGTCTCCTGGAACAGACTGCAGACAGCATTGACATATACCTCGGGCCGTTTTGGCTCCCGCCAAGCCCAGCTCTGTTTTCAGTGGAAGGATGCCAGCTCACATTTAGGTGAGTATCTGGCTCTGGTACACAAATATGGGGCAATTCTAGTAATTGCCCCATATAATAATTCTAATTTCATCAAAACCTTTTTCTTTTCCATGCTCGAGGCAGAAACATGCCTGTATCAACCTATTCCACGTAAATATACCACAGTTGAACAGTACAACCTTACATGTGTGATTTATTAAGACAAAGAATTCTAAATTTTAATAGGTCTGATTTTAAAAACGTTTATATATAAACAGAAAGTGTGAAGTATTTTTCATGTTATACCCTGACAGATAAATATATGTTCTTAAAACTGTTTCACATACGCAAATTACTCCCTATAGGTTGCTCCTGAAAAGTCCATTTCTAGACATCCATAACTGTCTTGAAAAATAACTGCTTTCAACTTGAGTGGAAGAGTAGCTGACCAGGAAGGCAGAATATACTAACATGTGGAGTGCCTCCTGAATTAATTTTAGTGGTTTTCAGGCTGATCATGATTTATCAGATTCCTACCATCCCACACCTATCTACATCATCATCCTAGCCAGTGGTTTTGGCAGCTGTTTCCAGAATTAAAAATGCCCAGCTCACCCTCATTTTTGATGGATTTACTGTCTACTTCCTAACCTATTATTCTGAATTTTGTTGTGACAATGGAATATAATTGAATTACAGACTGAACACTGCTAATAATAGCAATGAATTAAATTAATAAAATAGCTTAGCAGTCTGTTAATAAGATCAGACACCTGCTCATGGTGCCTAAGATATCAGACCTACACACTGATATTCCAAAAAGAAAACCAAACACACACACAATTGTCTCACTGTCTTGCAGACAGTGAATTCAGCCTGGAATGGACTCACTCACTTCTCAAACTGATGCTTTCTTCTAGCAGTTAATTCTACAAGGGCAACTCAAATATATTATTTTTGGTACGTGTTTTGTTCACATGAGAAGCTGCCTGCCTACCTGTGAACGCCTGTTCCCTGGGCTGGCTGAGGTTCATTCACAGGAGAAGCACTCCAACTGCATTTCATGTAGAATATTTACTCACACAGGCTCCATTTGTAGGTGTCTCCTACAAGATCCCGAGTTGACTCGAACTACCATTGAAAGTACTGGATCTGTGTAAATTGGCATGGCGCTTGACAAGGCTGGTCAGGTATCAAAGTGCCCCTTCATCCTCTGTGTTTGCTGACTGGACGGGCTGTTGCACATAGCGCAGGAACTTTTCCTAAAGCAGTTTGAAAATCTCCAGCCAGCACAGACACTACACAGAGGGCAGAAGCGTGTCCTTGCTCCTTACCAACACTTTATTCTCATAAATCAACTTCCAGGAACAAAGACTAGGTAAGTGTATTATCTGTCTTTTTTTTTTTCCTCTGCATTTCCCTTTTTTTTTCCTCAGTGGCAGAACTACGACTGCACTTTAAAGTACAGTCATTCTTTAAAGTAAGGCATTTTAATACGTGCTCACTGTGGATCTGATTTACTACAGACACATGCCAGAGACTGCATGTAAACCACCGCCTTTTTGCTGACGAAGCAAAAAAACTCAGAGTCTGAAGACACATGAAAGGAAGATCTACTGAACAAAGTAAATACCAATCTGTGGTCTTCTGTCATATTTAGAGAAGGAAAAGGGCTACAGTATGCTTGCGTGCCTTGAACGCAAATGATGTGCTGTTCTAGAGTAGCTAAGTATATGCTTTTATGTCACAGGCACAAAACACAGTCCTAGTCTTACTCCACGTAGCAGTCCAACTTATTTTCTGAACAAATGCAGACCGAGGTGTCAGCATCGCTCTCTGCTAGCCTACATGCAGTGGGACATGAAAGACATGGGCATCTCAAAACTCCAGACAACAAAAAAGAAACTCTGTCCCTGCTTGGGAGTTGCCACCACCACCTGCTTGGGAAAAGCTGGGGAGCGTAGACAAGCTCAGCAGCCCGCATCGAAGGTCAAACAGCGCAGTCAATGCTGGGCTGATGGCAGAAGGGAAGGCTGGAAACCTCACCCCTACTGCAACCCCCCCCACCTGACACTGCCAGCTTCATGCAGAGCTCCAGGGAATACCCGAAAGGGAAAGACTGTTTCTAAGAAAGCTGGAAGCCAAAAAATTGAGAGATACCATTCCTAAAATAAGGTTGCCTGGTGGGAGGTTGGCCTCTCACTTCCAAGCGATGAACTGCGTTAGCTAGGAACAGAGTCAGCCGCTCCTTTGGTTACCAGAGATAGAAAGGCTGGCTCGCGTGAACCTAAATGGGAGAGGCAAGATGGTCCACAAACAAAATCTGTCCTTACAGAGGGTTTGTCTTAAGGAAAATCTGAAACTTTTGAATTCAGGAAATTTTGGAATTATACCAAGAAACATATTTGGAGACAGGTCACTAACTAAATACTGGAATTAAAGGGGATGTGCACACAAGGCAAAGAACCTGGCACGTCTTGCACTTCCCCAAGTCTTGAAGGAGCTTCAAGGGCAGCACTGAATGGAGAACGCTGCCGTAGCTCAACCCGACACAACTAAAGCATAAGCACCTGCAGTTTAGGCCTGCACTTGTCAAGAAAGGTCACAACCTCAGGGCCAAAGAGGGCTGAGAAGCCACCCTTGCTGCAGAGTAACTACTAGATGTATCACTTTCACCATACCATGACTTGGATTTTGGAAGCGATCTGTGTAGCACATAAAGGACAGATATATACCTTTCTCGAGTTGCTTTTTGTAATATGATCCAGTGCAGTTCTTCTAGGAACTCTCAAGCAGCTATTTACAATTCAAAGCATTGATCTATTGCAGTCATATGGTGCCTGCAACATTAGCTCTGTGGGTTATTACAGAGGCGCTGCTTTTTTTAAACCAAACGGCATTAGTATCTAGGACACCAGCCAACTCAAGTGTGATCAGGTATGAAGTTTCTCAAATGAATCTGTTGTCATGACCAACAGAAAATAAAAACACTGTCCCCACTTGACAAGGTTCAGCACCATCAGATCAGGTCCTAAAACTGGAAATGAACTAGTTCCTCTGTAAAATGATACATATTGTACCTTGATGGCAAGATCCTTCAGCAAAGATGCAGAAAAGGTGAAGTGCATTCACTGAAAAGATCTAGATTCTGTACTTACCTGCTTTTTCTTGTAGAACCCCTTCTTGTCACAGTTTGGAATATGAAAGCCCCTGGGACTCAAGACATTCAGGATCTTTAGGTGGTTTAAAGTGTCTTCCATTTCTCTACGACAGGGACCCTGTCAACGAGCATGTTTTAGAAAACACAGATGAAACTTCATTCCCAAACATCGTCTTTCACACAAGAGTTAATAAATCCTTAAAGGGCAAGAAGCACAAACCCAAACAAATCCATGAAAACAAAGGGATGGCTGGATATGTCAAAAGAAAGACCATTCACAGACAAAATTCTGACTTTCTGCTTTATTCAGGATAAAGCTGTTTTTAAACACTGGAGGTCCTATGCTATGCTGAGGCACAGACTGGCATTTCCAGTTGAAATCACAGCCACATATACCTATGGGAAGGCTTAACCAGTATGTAAATCAATCACATACAACATAACTTAGGTTTGGAAAGGCTGGCTTCACACCAAGTGGGAAAAGAAGAAGGTAGGCAACTGGAAATACACCACTTGGTAGATTTTCCCTAATGCCATTTGATTTTAGTGATTCTGCTGGATTTGAAAGCTTACATGAAACAGATTTAATCGAAAACAAGTAGTTTGGCATAATGTATGTGTATATACAAAAATACTGCAACTTTGGACAATTCCCAATTTCAGCTGAACCAAATGGATGCAGCCATGCAAAGGAATGGTGGCACACAACAGTCTCGTTAGATAAGTACGTCAGTTTTTGCCTCACTTTCTCCATCTGCAAAAGGCTGACAACGATGTAGTGAAGATTAGCTCTAGGACAATGAGCCAAAAAGAACTTCCAGAAGCACTTTTAAGAGCATGTCTCAAACGCCAACTAATTATTTCTCACTGCAGCCCTTCAGGGTAGGGAGTAAAGTGTTACAAGCCCAACTTTGCAGTCAGAAGACCAAGAGAGGAGTTCACGTTTTGCCAGAGGCCAAGAAGGCAGCCAGTCTCAGCAGCGGGATCGGGACTCAAGAGTCTCAGCCTAACTCTGTGCTTAGCTACACTCCTGTCTGGGCACATCACTGACTCAGTCCACCAGCCTGCTGCTTCAGTGGAGACACAAAAAAATTCCCTTGCATGGCTGCACGGGTTTAAAATGTTTAAGTTGCTGTATCAACACAAAGACTCATTTGGTGCAATTTTTAATTAGTGAAGTAATGACATTTATACTTTCAAGTGGTAATATTAATAGTTTGCTCGTGTAAAGTGCCTTTCATGCAAGTGTCTGAAAGCATGCAGACTCCACAGTTCTACTAGAGTTTAAAATTTATTTTTTTGGTTAGCAAAGACCTTCTTTGCTGCTTTCATATGTTTTCTTTCAGTATCAATCTCGCAAGCTCTAAATATGTGCTTTGAATTGCTGCTCTTATTGGCAGTTCCTTAAAAAACTAAACTGCTCAGACACGCTGACTGCAAATCACACACATTCAAAGATTTGGTCCCGAGTTAGACCTACAAAAAGATCAACAGCTTTTTTTTCCGTTATTACTTTCAAGCAGGCTTCCAAAGTCAGAGAGATCAATATCAAAAGCTAACACGCAGACACAGCTAGAAGGACACCTGCTGACAAAGGCACCTGTCCCCAACAGACTTATTTCTGGTTCTTACAGACACCAGCAGCCTTGGTAAGTCGGTGCACCTTGGCTCATGGAGCCCAACTACCACCTAAGTCAAAAGTTCATCCTAGTTAAGACCAGGACCCTATTTCCTCAGATCTACCAAAGTTCATTCTTTTACTGTAGGCAGTTTACTTCACGTTTTTGGGAGGAGGACATGCTGGAAGGCAGATCCTGAAGTGTTTTAACTAGACAGCTGGACATCAGTGACAAACTAAACATGCAGCCTCACCACCCTTGCTGTGCTAGCTTGGAGGCCATGCTCTCTTCAGACACAACTTTCCACCTCATACATGTTTCAAAACCTTCTTTTCCAGATGGGTACCCACGTCTGGTTTCACCACTACTGTTTTGATGAAACCCCAAAATATAACCAGATATATTTTTTAGGCCATCTGGCATGGGCACAAGGATAACCACCGGATTATCAGCCAGGATGTCCAGGAAGAGGAATTATTCTCCCCTCAGATTTGTGTGCCTGGGAGCCTTCGCACCAAACAACGACTGCAAGTGGAAGCAGTGCTCAGCACGTCATACAGGCAATGACTGAGCAGTCAAGATCCTAATCCTCAACCCAGCCTAAGTTTCTCTCCCTTGATTTGCGCCATGGAGTGTGACCACAGTGCCACTACACTGAACGTGAAGCATTTTTTTTCTATTATTGCAACCCAATACTGCTGTATCCAACCCAATTTAATGATGACACTATTAAACCTGTCCTAAGTCCACTCACACAAATGTGTGATAATTACAGGGGTGAACAAGAACTTTGAATCTCTAAGAAATGACTTAGTGAAAATCATGCTTATATCTATGTAAACATCATTGTGTTAGGTCTCTCTGTTTTCTGAACGTGATATGCTGGGTCTGCTGATTGTCTGCATTTGCAGATCCAATAGTTTTACCAGTTAAACAGCCAGAATGCCCTAAATGGCTACAATAATTACTACCATTTAGTTATTTAGTTTATTTACCTTGTCGCATGCACAACGTGCATATACATACACACGCGCACACTCACATGCTAGGAAATGCCTTTCCATTTACAAAAGTACTTACGTATTCAGTCTCTTGTTTGGATTCAGAAGAGAAATTCAGTGTATCCGTACTCTGTGAATCATATTCCACTTTATAGCGCTGCGTATTTTTGGCTTGCACTCTCCTGATGATATCTATTTTGATGTGCGGTGGATGCAATTTGGAATCTGGCACCCTGTTTGGGATGGCCTGGTTTTCTATGCTGCTGGTACTCCGGTCTTCTTCTTCTGAATCACTGGAATTTCCTTCAAGAACAAATGCATTGAAGAAACTATGTTAATCAACTGCCAGCTGCATCTGGAAGGGCAACAAGCCACTAGATTAGTCTATGCACTTAGTTTTCCTTTACAAAACAGTGATATATAAAAAGATGAACAACTCAGCATTCCGCAGGCATCAGCACCTTTGCTGCCAAGTGATGACTTTTGTAACCAAAGCATCCCCTTGCTCTCAGCTTTTGCAAGGTACCCCACTGCATCGCCCGTCCGGGTTGCCCAACACCTGAAAACTGGCTACCTCCACTTCACTGCAAGCCACCACCACCCCAGTTTCTTGCCCTTTGGTGTCTGTGGCAGCTTTGCCCACCGGCGGAGCAGGAGCCTGCAGCAGCCCCACAGGTGCTGGGGACACAGAGCCTTCCCCTCCGCAACCGCCCACCCACAGGCTCATTTAATCACCCTCAGTTAAACATGGCTGGCTTGGGTAACTTATGGGCTGTAGCGTGACTTTTTGTCTTCCCCAAGTTGGTAATTTTTTTTTTTTTTCCAAATACAATAGATTCTACCATGCTGAGTTGCATGGTTCTAGTTAGTTATTTTTAACACTTTTTCTTTCTTAATTTTATTCAACACACAGAACAGGAAAGAAGAAAAAAAAATAGCATGTTTTCATTCTTCTGCTATTAAAATCATAAACATTTCTAGGTGTACAAAATACATTTTGAAGAGTATGGACAAAAAAATGCCATTCATTCTGTAATGGTGTCAAAGGACAAGCATCTGCTTTCATCACAAGCTTCAAAAAATATTTTCTCTTTAAACTACCATCCACAAAAAACACAGGAGAAGCACATTTTTCCAAAATACTGCATAAGCCCAGTGTTCCTGTACCTTCTGAGGTATTTGTCTACACTGCATTTTTCCCCTCTTAGGAGACTCCTGCAGTGTAACTGTAACTGGCTGCGTTTCCTCCAGGGAATTTGTCAAGTTTGGATATTGCTATCAGCTAAGTAGCTAAGTCCCACTAGTTGCTGCCTTGGCTGCCGGCCACCTTTTTTTTTTTTTCTTTTTTTTTTTTAAGGAAATCATTGGGAGTGCACAAAGATAACTGATGTGCAAGGAACATCCTGGAAATCTGTATTAAAATTATACTTGATGGCTCACTGCAAAACCACAAAAGCCAAGAAATTCAGTGCTAAACCTGAAAGCCCATGTTCACGTAGCAAATTGACTTGAAATATTTCAAGACAGGCAGTTAAGTGGCACTGCCAATACACAGGAACAGGGGAGGAACATGAGGAGGAGGAGGGATCCGAGTTAACATCTTGGTACCGGTGGTTTTAGTGTAACCACTGCTGGCAATGGACATAATTGACCAAGAAAATCCAACTCCCAGTGCAAATGGATTAAGGAAGTTTAAGTCTTAAGTCTAAATTTCCTGGCTTTTGTGGGTTTAACTCAGACTCTCAGTGGTATTTGAGCATATTTTAGGTGGTTTAATGTCCTGTTTTTAAACAGTGGAGGTTTTTTTCCACATTCTCAATGAAGTTTGCAAGAAATTACAGAATCAAATGTTATAAACCTGAATCTTCTAAATATAAATACTATGCATATTAGGGTTTCTACAATCAGTTCATTAGTTTGCCTCTTCTACTGAAAATAAGTAGAAAATATTCCTAATGTGCATTAAATAATTACCAGGCTGGCCATTTCAGTTTAGACAGACCACCACATTTCAACAGGAGTTCTTACACTTCAGTTTGGAACGATCGTAATGCTGCGTTTTAAACTGTGAAGAATATTTGATTAACTGAGCTTCACAAAACTCAGTGCCATGTTAGCTTTACACTCTCCTAACAGAAACAAAACTGCAAGTATGAGAGTTACTTGCTCTCTTTTAAAAAAAGAGATTAGAAGGGTTGCACATGCGCACTACTACTTAACACTTTCATGCCCCAAAAAAACTGAACTGGAAAGCAAGTCAGTAAAGACTTGCTGTTAAGAAGCTACCGTAACATACACCACCTCATACCGATTTCTAGCAATTTCTGGAAACTAGGAAGGACCAAAAGCATAGCACATGATGCAGGACTTTGCTGTCCGTAAGGGAGATGATGTGATCCTGCTCGGGGAGGGTGTGCACCAGGGAGCGCTGGATTTAGAGCTGGAAGCAGAACAGTCCCCACGAGGGACGTGTCACGTAGGTTCAGAGTGCTTCTTCCTTCTTGCACCCCAGGTTTGCAACCTGCACTCCTTCAACACGAACTGTAAGGGTCCTACTTTGCACTTTTTAAGGAATCAAAGCTCCTACTGATTTCAAAATCCACCTTCTCCCTCAGCCAAGAATGCAGAAACAGGAACTCGGCATTTTGACTATTTGGGTGAAAAACGGAAAGGTTTTCAGCCAAGCGCAGCTCTGTCTCCCCCTTTCTCCTTCTCTTAACAGCCACTGTTAAAAGCACTACCCCTCCATTAAACAGCACCCACTCTCAAGTACGGACGAGACACCCCTCCTTCCCAATTCATGCGAAGGATGAATATGCAAGAGCCAAGTTCATGTGATGAAGGGAGCTGCTGCATGTTCCAATGAGATCTAAAGCTTCAGTCAGTCCCTCTGTTCTCTCATTCAAACTGTCACAGCTTGGGAGCAGCACATAAATAATTATAATAAGGCATCTCCCACTCTCATAGCAGCCAGTTAACGGGAGCACTGGTGCCACTTCCTCAGCTAAGGAGAGGCCAGCCAAAGAGTCCTTGCAACCTAGCACAAAAACTCCTGGCTTTTTAAAAATGCAAACAGTGGAAAGCCTTTTGACACACTTTTCTATTAAATAAATGTTAACATACTTGCTGTTGGTGAGCAAACAGTTTAATGAAATGTTTGCACAGAAGGACTGTGCTTTCTTGATCTGAATCCCAAGTTTCCCTGTCTTAAGTTTCCAAATGTGCATGCTAACAGAACTTTTTCCAACCGTCCCTTCCTCTTCAAACAAAACAAAACCCACTCTGTGAATGTCTCATTTACAAGACATGTAAGAGGTACGGGAAAGCTCCATTTGACCAAAGATTTATTTGCAGTGCAGGCAAAAACCCAACGTCCTCTTAAACACTGCTGTGCAAATGCTTTGTTCTGAATAACCACCTTCCCGGGCCAGGGGAACATTTAACTCCTTTTTCCTTTTTTTCTCTTTGGTGGTTTTTTTTTTTCTTTCTCTTTATTTTTTTCTTTTTTTTCCTCTCTGTGCTTAGCATTCCCCTGACTTCGCCACACTGCCGCCCAGGAGTTAACCCACTCTCTCCAGTTTTCTCACACCCTCTTTCCAGGAACACTGGGGACGAACCCCCAGGATTTCACCCTCTCTCCAGCCCCCCCGCAGAAGCAACATGCAATCCCTCCTCACCCCCTCGATTATTATTTTTTTTTAAAAAAAAAGAACAACTCTGCCTCTTTTGCGAGGAGCTACTTCTCGGCATCGGTGTTGGAAGAAAAGAGACCTATACATAAGTAAGGTACAAGA